CTATGTGGCTCACAGCAGGGGAGCGGGGGATTTAGAGGCCAAGGTCTCCTGCGCAAAAAAGCGCAGCCTTAGTCAAATTTAATTCAGCTGTTGTAAGAAATATTCATAGCTAAAAATGATTAAATAAACATGCTGAATGCGAGTCGCAACTTATTCAGTCATACTACATGTAAAGTTGAAGATTAGGGTAGAAGTAGCWGAAAATAGCCTGGTTAAAACCAGCTCCTTGTCCTTCACTTTGCTTCGTACAGAGGGTCTGGACTCTCTACTACTGAGAAAAGATTGCTTCCTGGAGGCGTGGCCTCTGTTGAARTTTAAAATGATTGGATCTGATTTAACCAATCTTAACGGTTGGCCGCGACGTACGCAGTGCGGCAGCTGCACTGAGAAGGAGGCTAGGCTAAGAGGCTAACCGTAAACAACCCTACTGTAGACTGGACTCTGCACAAACTTCAGAGACATCTGCAGACGGAGGGTGCTTCATGCATCTAATGAGATACAGAACGTAAATTGTGGGACACGTCTCGCTTGTGAAACTGTACTTTTTCTTTTTAAAGTTTGTACCGATGTGTCCTTTGTGTATGTTAGTTTCCAATGCTAACTAGTTAGCAGCTAGCGGCTATCGCTAGTTAGCGATCCAGGATAAAAACAACACCCCCAGCTCTACATTTATTTTAATTAGTAATTAATGTTGACCGTATTTGAGGCTAATCGTTGTTTGTTTGTTTGTTTGTTTGTTTGTTTGTTTGTTCAGAGTCACGTTCAGCAAGTAGCCAGCTAAGTTCCCGGACCGCTGCTCCACCTTCTCCGCCATCGATCGGTACCGGCTGCCTCGCTATCCAGGTCAAAGAAGCGAGGGGCTGGGCAGCAACTGGAGAGCTGCTCCGGTTACATTCAGACTTTAAAGTGTTTTTTTATGGAGTTATTTATCATCTGACTTTTGTTTTGTGCAATAACGATACTATCGGCATTGCTGTTCGTTTTTCATCGAGTTTAATCCGTAAAGGGGAAAAAAAACAACATATTTACTCACACTCCGAAACATAAAGTGTGCAGTAACTGTAAGTTCCTTTTTAAGAAAATCATTTTTGGTTTTGTTTTACTGCATTTATAAGCAACGGTTTGCTGTAACAGTATTTACAGACTAAATATCAGACTTTTTACTGTCAATAGTTAGCTGTAGCACAGAACCAACGTTAAACAGCAGCTTTAGCGACCCACTTTTAAAAGACGTTACTTGCCCACAGAGCGGGAAAAATACCGTGGAACATCACCTGGAACCGAGTAGAGCTGCACTTAAACGCCGAAGTACCAAGCTGAACGAGACGGCTGTAAATGAGAGCTGCAGGCTTTGTGAGAAAAAATTAATTTAATTTGGAACGCTTGTATAAATTGGCTGTGTCCAAAACGGCAGGCCGGGTCCTCCGAAGGCCGAATTCGTCGGCCGCATTCGTCACAGCGC